GATGTTTTCTGTATCCTCCGGGACGTGATAAACATAAAAATGACGAGATGCAAATTCTCTTAATCATAAAATCGTTGCACCCCCCCTTTACTAATAATACATTTAAATATCAAACGAATAATTATTTTGTGCGAGAGCAAGGGGCAAAAAAGTTGCAAGGAGATAATTTGTAAAGTGGCAGGATGCCGGTTGCTGTAATTAAACAGACGCAGACTCCTAATAACACGGGATATGAATACCATATCATGTCGCCCACATCTGCCTTGACACTGTAGCACTCACACTGCATGCATGCATCACCGGTTCACAGCAGCATACCGAGCAAATCATGTATTGGCTCTGGGGGCTGAAACATTTTACAGATCAACCATCTGTGGTTACTATTACAGGATGCCTTCCCGTTTTAAATAAACGAGTTGAAATAAGTTTTATTTGCATACAGTTCCCAGACTTCTGTGTGGGCTTTTGTGAGTCGTTTCAGTTGCTTTTTTACGATGGTGTGTCCTGGAGCATTCTTAGATTGAAAATTCGTACAACTGCCGAACCGTCCTATCCGATGAAAGTATAAATAAAATATGACATCATTCGCTTCGATATTTGAAAGTTCTGAATACTCACAAAGCCCTTTGTTACGCTTCTCAAAAGATTGGCATCAGTCACATTAGAGTTGTCTTCCTCTTAGGTACATGCTAGATGTGTAGGAAGTCAAATTTGCACTTACCATAAAAAAACATACAGGTTCAAGGGATTTCTGTGGAGACTTCATTTGAAGCCCTTCAGCATCGCTAAAATCTTGAGCTGGGCCGTCGTTCGCTTCACTGCTCCCATTCTCTTCAAGCCCTTCTCCAGGTTGATTTGGAAGATTGGTCTAGGAGGATATATTGCATCATCTAACATTAATGCCATGCCTGCTTCAAGCATACTCAGCCTGGTGAAGGTGAAGCCATTTATTTTCTACTATCAAGTCAGACTATGGTAGTGTTGGAACATGTTAAACCTGAATGACTGCTGAACAAGCACACATTCTATAGACCGACACCCTGTTTATAAGCAAGTCCGCGTTTGCCCACACAGGTGTGAGCACTGTGCGTGCGCAAAAACCAAAGTCGCGTAAAGTGAAGCGTCTGCGCTGTGCCGCCGACAGCGCCACCGCAGCTGCGTGACGTCAGTGCCGCGTGCTGGTCTATACAAGATAACCATGCTTCCCTGCCTTGAAAGTTACAGCCTAATGACAACCAGTGTTCCCACGTTATCAATTCATTATAAATATGCAGCAGCATAATTCTTTGTAAAATTAGTACAGCTCAAATGTTTGTGCGAGTTGTGAAAAAGGGCGCTACGGCACGATAAATGATAGGGTAATCTAGATTATGTCATTCTATGACACATCCTGTGGACTTGACGCATTTCAAGATTTTCTCACATTTGCATAAGCTCGAGAGTGGCCAAGGCTTCCGTTGAATAGGTAAATTCAACACGCATACCGCCTTCAAGAATGGCATAGGCTCTTTAAACATTGGCCGATGCTCAGTGACAAGGAAGCAATTGTCGTTGAAGACGCCTCCTGAAAAAAATGTGAGCTTGCATCTCAGACAATTTGAAACTGCAGGAACGGTGGCTATGTTCCTTACAAACAGTCTGACTGAGGAGCCAAGATTAATGCACACAATTTTGCAGTCCGTGGAACAGTGGTATTACGTACCCTCCTGAGTGGCGCCGTGCAAGTATTGAGCGGAGGTATATTGCTTTAATATACACATAGAATATTCTGAGCATAAAAATGAATATCAATACGATGATCTTAGACCATCTGGTTGGGGGGAATCAGCGTACAGTGACACAAGTGCGTTCTGTGAAATGAGAAATTCATCGGCTGCATTATGACTGCTAACCAAAGAGTGAACGTGAAGTACGCAGTGGTGATACACCAATGGGGAATCGGTTCATCGAACGACGTTTCCTCGACAGATCGTTTCATCGACAGCTCAAATTAACCTTCTTTTTTCTTTCTTTCTTTTTTTTTTTTTTTTTTTTGGGGGGGGGGGGGGGGGTAAGCTGCATAAGACTGTCGCCGCGAAGCGACCTGTACGGGTCGGTTAGGTGGGTTAACATTTTTGTAACGAGCAGCCGCAGACTGTCGCCGCGAAGTGGTGTGAACGCAGGCGGGGGTGTGGGTTTACGCGCACTTCAGTGATACACGAGTGGCGAAACGTCACTGCAGCATGAAATTCGCGTAACGAGTGTCGATGAAACGTTCGTGTCGACGAAACGTGTCCATAAAAAGTTGTCCACGAAACGTACTGCCGCAAACGAATTTCGACGAAACGATATGGACCCCTCGGCGAAATGAGAAGGCTACAGGAAGCGCGAACAACGATGCGAAACTCGTAAAGCGCACTCACGCACTCAGACGATGGGTTGTCACGTGCTTTACTGCAACTCTTGCGAGCCAGCACGCGCGAATAGCCTCCCAATCGCTACAAACGACGAACCGCTCGTCTCATTGGTCCCAGCGAGCTCACGACATGACACAAGGTTCAAACGAGCACCCGACTTGAGCTTTCAACTCTGAGAAGAACGTCAAACACGAACTGAGATAGCAGCGACAGTCATTGAACCCGAAAGTTTCAAGCGACGCAAATCCGTGGTTTCGTTTCTTTCGAGGAAAGAAGTGTCAAAAATACGAACGTATATATGACAGTCCCCAATCAATGTTAATAAAAAGAGCAGAACAAACTCACCGTTTTGATAACAACAAGGAAAGCTCGCACAAAAACCACCACGCACCTCTACCCCTCGACAAAACAAGCGCGGCAGTAACGGCCGTAAAACGGCAGCAAAACGACCGAGCGGAGATGGGTAGATGAAGAGATAGCGGCAGTGTGATTATTCTAGACAAAAATCTTACCTCGTGCTTTTCAATTGAGCGGTAACTAGCGCCACCTCGTTTCGGAACGTTTATCATTAGTTGATTGACAGTGCAATAAATGATTCTTTAAAATGTGAGAACCGTTGTCTATTAGTCTAAACCAAATAAAACAACTTTCAGCTTGTCGCAAACAATTTTAGTTGTTTAAAGAATCGTAACTTTAGATTTACGGACAAGTCAATCGTATTTCAGATTACGGATGCTTCTCCGTAGCTTTTAATGAGAAGCTCTACGTTTTTTTACGGAACGTTTTTACCGTGCACACCTGATAGAAAGATATAAACTTTCTTGCCTTAACCTCTCGGACCGAGTCAAGAGCATTTCAGTATTGCAGCGAGAGGTTCCGACAATGAGTGCATCGCTCTAAAAAGTGCTTCGGCTGCATATGCAGTTAAACCGTTAAACCAAGCAACCGTACATCAATCGCCGTACTTCAGTTCTACTCACCTGCCAAGCACAGTAGTTTCGCGTCGTAGAATCCTCCTTTCGTTGGAGCGTTTCCGGCCCAGTAGTACACCTTGTCGTCTTCAACTACACCGCTAAAGTGCCTTACATTGTCGGAACTCACAACAGGCTGGGTCTTGTCGAGTAGAAATTCTACTAAAACGTAAGACATTGTAGACCCCGGGCAGGATCGACAGGTTGGAGAAAGCGGGCAAACAAAACGAGTCGAGAGCGATCGTTCATGGAAGCTCGGCGAAGCCCACATGGGCGAAGCGAAGTGCGAAGTGTCGTGGTGGCTTCGGCGGGCTTCTGATCAAGGTTGTCGGTCGGTTGCGTGTCACATCTCTAACGTCAGCGGTTTTATGGGCTCACGTCCCGAAATCGTTTTCTCGTGCATACATTACTTTTCGTATTCATAGATTTGACGAAATAGTGGTATCCGAACGAACTTTACGTCCTTTGACCGTACTTCTGTCTGCACGTCAAAGCTTTCTGACGTACAGTCAGAAACAATCGATGTACAGTCAGAATCACCACCAGGACATCCTGATGGCATTTCGCGGCGGCCGACTGCCACCAGGAAACCATCAGAAAGCCGACAAGCGGGGTCTGACTGGAGTTTGACTGTCGGTCAGAGTAACTTGTTGTCCAATCAGACATGCTTGACGTACAGTCAGGCACAGTCAGCGGTCCACTAGAAAACATTGACTGCCAAACAGCGTTACATTGATGGATTTTTCCTTCGGGTTACCAAAGTATTTGATACACTAGCGGTGTTCCCGAAATGCCACCAGTCGAATTTAGTGTAAGTGGCATTGAAACCGTATTGCAGAACATCGATGAAACCAAAGCCAGTGGTCCCGATGGCATCTCACCACGCGTTTTAAAAAGGTGCGCTCAGGCAATCTCGCCCTATCTATACTTAATTTATACCCAGTCGCTGGCTACGAGCGTTCTACCAGATGACTGGAAAGTTGCTCACGTTGTACCTATCCACAAAGGCGGTCCGAAGAAGGATGTCTCTAATTACAGACCTATTTCATTGACGTCTATTTTATGTAAGATTATTGAACACGTTTTTTCAGATAGTGTCTCACTTAAACGCAAACAATTTGATTATCAGTGAGCAACACGGTTTTTGTAAGGGATTGTCTTGTACAACACAGCTTGCGGAATTTTTTCACGAATTAGTATCTGGTATTGATGAGCGCAGACAAACAGATTGTATTTTCTCAGACTTCCGTAAAGAATTTGACACAGTTTCACACTCGCTTCTTCTCCAGAAACTTAAGATATTTAATTTAGATTCAACTGTTATTAGGTGCCCTATTGAAAAAACCAGCTTAAGCTGGTTAAGCTGGTCCCAGCTTCAAGCTGGGTTATTGCCCCAGCATGCCCAGCTTGGCAAGCTGGTCCCAGCTTGGCAAGCTGGTCCCAGCTTGGCAAGCTGGTCCCAGCTTGGCATGCTGGTCATGCTGGTTGATCTGGTCATGGTGGGTGATCTGGTCACACTGGGTAGATCACCTAGCATGACCAGATGGTTCAATGATTTGTCATGCTGAGGGAATTGGCTGAACAAACCAGTTTAGCCATTCAACCAGCTGAAATAAATACACAGGTAAACAAGTTATGCCTAAATGCCTCGAGGAACATTTATTGAGAGGATGGAGGCTTGGGTGTAAATCTTGTGTGCTGTTTCACCCAAGCATGCACATTTATTCTTTGGGTGCCGGTGGTTCCCTCCTTCTTGTGCCTTGTCTTGCGTTGTCGGGCAGGAACTCCTTTAAAACCTCCCGCACAATCTTCTGAAGTTCGGGGCCCGTGTGCCGAGCTTCGGTGGGTTTGGCTCCCTCGTAGTACATGAGACCATCTGGGGAAATTTTAAATAGATGTGTGTTAGATGGGCAATAAAACAAGCAATAAAATGGCTAGGTGGGCTAGTTAATTAGTGCATGATTTGAATGGAAAAGCGCCTAAAAAGCGTGGACACAAGAGAAGGATGGACAGCACGGAGTGCTACCTTACAATTGAACATGTTTGTGTTGTTATAAGTTAGCGCTTGGTCCTGTCCATCCCTTTCACCTGCTTTTTGAGGTGCTTTAGTCAAATAAAGTAAGCTCCAAGATTTCCTCTTGTTGGCTCATCAAACGTTTCTGAAGACAGTGCGTATGTCACGTTCACCGTACAGTTTTTCTGCATACAAGTGTTTCAAACTACCAAAATTATTAAGAACTTTGTGTTTTACTTTTCAGGAAGTATGATCCAAGAGCGACAGAAATATAACTTATACAAACAAAAGGGCAAGGACAGTGAGCTGTGGGTGAGGTCATAACATAATAAAATTTCAGAGAGGTCGGTGAAAAGGCCAATGTCAAAACACTACCTGCTTCCCTCCCCTATTGCACAAGTGCAATAGTGGAAGTGATTGACACATTGTTTCAGTTTTATGTTAATTAACACTGATCCCAAACTCCCGTAGTGATAGGTGTATCAATTTCTATTTAATCTGTTTGCTTTCCCTAAAGTAAAATGTACAATATTATGCGGTCGATTTGATGTGTTGGATCATTGCTGCCCCTTATTCTGCTCTGCTGCCCCTTTTCTCACCTCTTTGCACTGACTATGCCATGACGCTCGATGCAAGCTTTTTACTGCTGCGCTCAGTTTTGCTTGCTTTCCCATCCTATTACTGGTTTAACTTTTCTTGTGATCCCAACTTTTTAACCAAGCAGAAGCACAGTGTACAGTTCCCCTCATACTAGCATGCATGTGGAGCTTCACTACTCTGCACTCATGTGCCAGGAGCAGTACTTGACGGGGGTCAACATCTGGGTCAGCTCAATGGTCTCTAAAGTTTTGCTCACTATTAAAAGCTGCCATGTGTAAGTTGCAACTGAAAATTAATTGCTAACTTTAAATAACATTTCTGAAAAACAAACACTCGGCAAATATTGCAATAACCATAAACTTCACCAAGGCTGTGAAATTCTATCTGAAACCAGCTGCAGTCATAATTGCTTCCTCTCAATTATAAGCCTCCCAACGCTTAATTGGCTGTCACTTTTCCCTAAAAAATCTCGTCAACCAATTCTACTGTATTTCATTGAACTCGCTTAAATTGCAAAGTAACTCAAAAGGATACCAAAAATGGTATAAAATTAAAATTATAAGAAATCTCCAGGAAGTAGAGATACCGTAATAATCAAGACATGGAAATAATCCTTCCATTTCTGTAAATCATCTACTACCGTGCATGCACTACATTGCATGACCCTGTTAGCGAGAACACCGAATCAGCAGCTTTTTCCATTACGTTAAAAGCAGAATGATGGGCAGAAAACTTTACCACTTAGGTTAGTTCTCCAAATTAGCTCCTTTTACCATGCCAGTATGACAATCACAAATCACAAATTCATTAAAAAAAATTATGGCAATCCTTTTTTCTTTTTTTGCGTTAGCAGAATGATGGGCAAAGCCCCAATTCCTAGGAAAAAAAATTAAAATATGGTAATCTGTTGCTTGCATTAGCAGTGTCATGCTTGAACTTAATTATTTCAAAAAAATATTTTAAACAAATTTCAAATCTTGCGGAGCATCTTCAGTCGCCTTTGCATGAGCTGTTCAAGGACAAGCTTTCTCACTTACTTGCAAGGGCCAGCAGTTTCATTGGGGTTACCGGCAGCTTCCCCTTTGCCCCATCCTTCAAATGACTCCGGCAGGGGGCACCGGTCACACTTCTCGCGCACATCTCTTCGTGAGTATAAATACACCTGCACAAATCTTTCACATATCGTTTGGGAGGGAGTCTGTCTACTAAATCATCAATCTTTAGCTTCGAAAGCTTTATCTTGCCACCGAGGTGTACCTGCAATGAAAAATCATTCGCTTAGTCATGAAAGTCTAACGACTTTCAAAGGTTTTGTGCGTGCTTCCCTCCTTGCCCGCACATCATCTGCTCACGCTCGGTTCGGTCATTCTGGGATTCTGGATAATGACAACTTAGCCACCTGAGCACTTTGCCGCGTACAGCATATTTTTTATATTTAAGCTTTTTCGGCATGCTTAACCTATCCACTGCAGCTTCTCATTGTTTCCTCCATATATATTGTGAATGCATTAATGGAGCCTTGCAATAAATCTTGATCAAGATTGAAGTTTCACTAAAACTGACCTCACAAAACATAGGAACCAAGATAAAACCAAAATTTTCCCGAAAATCACAATATTTAAAAAAAATATTGGCAAACTAAAATTAAAAAAAAAAAAAAAAAAATTCCTTCTCAATGTTGACAGTGGTACGCCAATGGCAGGAGTGAATCCCCATGAAGCTTGTCTTCGGAGAGTTGTCGGTCCACAACAGGCTCATTCAGTCGAGCGTACCGACGTCACATATGCACCAAACCAGACCGCTAGACTTCACTGTACACACAACAGCAGGTTCGAATAGCCGAAATCCAGATTTCGTAGTAAACACACTCTTCTCGGATGCCACTAGTCCTCCCGAGACTCCTAAAGGCCCGTTCACACTCTTGCGACCGAGTAAGACCCAGTAAGACGTCTTAGAACAGGATACGCTACAGCGGAGCTGGTCCTAAGATGTCGCAAGAGGATTAAAGACCGGTCTGGTCTCTCTCGGTCGTACTCGGTTGCAAATGTGTGAACGGCTCTTAACACTCTCGACCAGTGTGACTAGTGAACCCACTTGCAGCGACTCCAATTGATGAACATTCAGTTTACTTTCAAACGTGACTGTGAATGAGAATATTTTATAGCATTAACTTAGTACTTTGTAACAGCAAGAAGCTTCTAAAGGCATAAAAAAGTTTACAATGATGCAACACAAAATGCTAACAATAGAACAATGTGGTTGCCTACCATGCCATCTTCCTCAGAAAAAGCCGGTGGTGTGGGATCTTCCCTGTCCAAAACAGGCACTGGCAGCTGAAGTCCTGTAACACAGATGTTATCTTAAGTAAGACGGAACAGCATTACCGTGGGATACACTTGATAACCGAGTACACTATGTATTGTCCCCAATTGCATTAGAGCACCCATTCAAGTAATAAGATATATAATTAACAAGCGCTTACTTTTATATGTATCGTAATATACCAAGGAAATGCCCATTCCTTTTTTGACAAAAAATGGGTTGAACTATACTGTTAGTAGGAAAGCACAAAATAAATAAGGACGAATTTGATATAGATGAAGCACTCTCAACTGAAGGTTTACCATATTTACCAAATACCATATTTTCGCGATTCTAAGCACCCCCCCCCCCCCCCACCCCCCCCCACCTTTTCCAAACGAGACGCCTGAAAAAAAGTTTGTATGCGAATGTAAGCACCCCCATCCCATGCAAGAAATTTGAGAGCGGCGATGCCGGTATCATCTTGTTATCCATTAAGCTCGAGCGCCGGAGTCGCGAACGGTCGCTAGCGCTTGGTTTCAACATTACTTAATGGATGGCAGTGTTTGTCGGCGTTCGTCTCGCAATCATACTCTGTTCACTGCGCATTTGTGGTTTGCGGAAATCCTCCACCATCAGTGTGAAGAGAATTTTATACACGATGAAGTTGAAGCAAACGGTTATTTCTTATGCGGAGGATAGTGGAAATCATGACACTGCTGAACACTTCAAACTGGACAGAGCAGGTGTGATTTGGTGGAGGAGAGGGTGGAATCTGATCTTCAAGAGTGCCGTGACCCACAAAAAGTTTACGGAACCGCGCAGCTGCCAACACCTGGAGCTCAAGATGGAGGACTGCGAGCTTGTCCACAGCGAGCGATGCGACGGCTTTGCCCTCACAGCCGATGCCATCTAAAGGAAGACTATGAAAATCTCCACATGGGTGCAAATTCTCCGTTCGGCCTTCGTGCAGGCAAAGGCTGGGAGGAGCGCATGATGAAGACGAATGGCTTCTCTTTGGGACGCCGCACCACTATCTGCCGGGAGCTACCGTCGGACTCCAAGCACAGGCTTGTCAACTTTCAACACTATGTGATGAAGCTGTGCCGGGAATCTCGCTATGGACTCGGGCAGATCAGCAATGCCGATGAAGCCCTAAAGTACATCAACATGCCAAGGATGTGCGCCACGACCGAAGTAGGCACTCGAAAAATCAAAGTGCGTACAACTGGGTATGAGAAACAACGGCTGATCGTAATGCTGTGCATCACAGCCGACGGTCGGCAACTCGCGCTCTACATCATCCTCAAAAAGAAGAACATGCCGAAGAATCAGACGTTGCCAGAAGACGTCATCGTGAGGGTACAAAAGGGGTGGACGATGAGTGCAGCTGAAGCAGGGCTGGATCAGAGTTGTGTGGCAGCAGTAGCTGAGAGCATCACTTGGCGGTCCCAAAGGCACGAAGTCCATGCTTGAGAGCTTGATACGTCCTGCGGTCACCTGACCCCGGAGATGAGCAGTAGCAACTGCGACCTGGCGGTCATTGCTACAGCCCCTAAACGTCTCCGTAAACAAACAGTTCAAAGAAAACTTGTGGCAAGAGTACGAGGAGTGGACCTGCAATTCCAACCAGAAGAAGACGCCGACGGGGAAACAGTGATGTGATTGCTGCGCCAATTGCGCCAAGGGGCTAACCCTGCTACATCTTGCCAAAATAGGGGTAATCCGCGCCAAGCCTGCGCCAAAGGACCAATTTTGGTCGCCTTTCAAAACCGACACTAAACTGAATACCGTAATTGAGCATATGCAATTGAATTCGATACTAAGTACTCTGCATTAATTGTCCGATCTTGCGTGGTTTTCTCGCCGTCTTGTGTTTCACGCTCTCGTCTTGCGCTTTTTTTTTTCTATGATAGACACGAGTGTATGCAGACGCTCCGACGCTAACGTGCCAAGTACCAGCCCTGCCGTCATGCTGTGAAACAAAACCACATTTTTGTGCGGCGGGAGTTACTTTGTGAGCTGAAGCACTCTCTTCTGAAAGCAGCGGCCGTGGGAAAACTATTTTTGGTCCCTTCCAGTCACTGTGGCTGCGCGACGTTGGGTGTTGCCGTCCCCACGTCGCTGCAGATACGGCGCTTTCTAAAATGAAACTACCGTATAAATGCGTGTAAGGGCCGCACCCGTGTAAGGGCCGCACCCCCGTATTTAGGACAAAACATTGCAAAAAAAAATTAGAGAAATTATTTGTGTATGCGCCGCACCCCCTTGTTTTTGAGGCGCGACGACTGTAATGCCAAGTTTCTACGAATATATATCGCTAGGTGGCGCTAGCCGCCGCCCGAGCACGTAGCAGCACGTCTCCGCATCCCCGATATTTGCTTTCCACTCATCCGTATCACCGTGTGGCACAATGGCTGCCGACCTCGATCGTGGTCGGCCGCACCGTCGGGATGCGTTTATGTTGTGGCCAGAAGACATTGAGAAAAGACAAAGGATATGTCAGCTTCCGTGGCAAGCGCGAGGAATGGGGATTCAGCGGGCTCGGCTCACGCGTGCACTTAGGTTTCCGAGCGCCACTGTACAGTCTGGGAAGGTTTCCTTTTGTTCTTAGATTCGTGTGAAAGCATCGCGATTTGTCTGCCTTTTCGCGCAATCTGAGAGCTATGGGCAAGTACCACTTGAACAGTCATACGGAATTCACTCGAAAGTTTCCGCGCATGCTATCAAGTACCAACAGTTTTCGACCAGTGCAGCCGAGCGCGCTCGTGTACATTCATTTCGAAATGTGGATACATGTATTTTTTTTTATCCGTGTATGGGCCGCACCTTGAAAATTTGCCCTCAAATCGGGAAAAAATAGTGCGGCCCTTACACGAGTTTATACGGTAAGTACCGCCGCATGTTCATCAACATTCCTGTTCTTGTTTAAATCATACGTTACTACAAAAATCCCTCTAACTCAATGACTGCTGTGTCGACGTATTGATTACCTAGGTTTTTTTGGGTGGGCTTTCTTTTGAGGGGGACTCTGGTATCTGAAAGATCCGCCGCGAAAGGAGGTTGATGAAAAGAAGTTAGCTAAAGCAAAGCACGCTGAACCTGCACTGCGCGCTTGTTCGTCTCGAGTTCAGTCATTGCACAAAGCGCTCCAAGAGCATTTTGACCCTCGCTCGCGGTGTCTTGCACCGATAGCTTAAATACTTTTTTCCCCTTCCCTTTTTTTGTATGTTTAGCTTATTGTCGTATGCTCGACAGTTACATCTTGCATACAATTTTGGGGATCAGTTGGCGACGGAGCGAAGTGACATGATCTCATTTTCGATCGAACAGCCGTTGTCTCGGCTCGCGCGACTAAGCACGCGCAACTTCAAGCCTGCTGAAGTTGGCCTGACGTGCATGCGAACATGATTGCACGACAGAAGCACCAGCCGGGATGCTTGCAATCCATTGTTTCACGTTTGCTTAATTTTGACGAAGATCTGGCACGTCGGGAACCAGTCAAACGATGGCAAGCGGTTTTTCGAAAGTGCTTGGCATGCCTACAGCATTCTACACTTGTGGGATGTCTCAGCAGTAAAAACACAAGCAGCAAGTTCTGTCACAACAGGCCACATCAGAACACAACGCATCACAAAGTGCCCCACGTATGTACTATCGTGAGCAATATGAGAGGGAACAGTGAAGCACGTGCCAAATAGCCTCGAACCCTACCCGTGGCGATACGCTACGACAGCTCTTGGAAAGAAGGTGGAGAGAGCGGTGCGCTTTCGTCTGCTGTCGGCACCCCCGCCATGCTGACTTTCCTCTCGCGCTGCACCTGATAATGATGAAAATTGCGAGTCGCTTTTATACGTCGTATCATTGATAGCTTTGCGAACTTGACAAAGAAAGCTCACGGCAACGAGACGTTATCGCCGTTAGAAGTCGGCGATGAACTATACCATGTGAAAAGTAAGCCGCCAGTGGCAGGGGTGCCAGCAGCAGACGAAAGCGCACCGCTCTCTCCACCTTGTTTCCAAGAGCTACAGCAGCGTATCGCCACGGGTAGGGTTCGAGGCTATTTGGCACGCGCTCCACTCCCTCTCATATTGCTCACGGTAGTACAGGACTAAAAACCAATATTTTTATTTTTCTAACAATATCTGCTCCAAAAGCCACTTTTGCTGTTCCGAAACACTGTCTTGGCTGCTCCAAAAGCCACTTTTGCTGCTCAAAAACACTGTATTGGTTGCTCCAAATGCCACATTTGCTGCTCCGAAACACTGTTTCGGCTGCTCCGAAAGGTGCTCCAAAATGGTTTAGGAAATCACATCACTGCGAAGGCTGCAGAAAGCCTCTCCATCAACCATTGAGACGTGGATCTTGGACGCTTGGAAGAGGGTCCGTGCCAATGTTGTAATGATGTCGTTTAAGAAGTGCGAGAGTGATCGCAGTAAGTTCCAGATTCGACATTCTGTACGCCTCTCGATCACATCCTTCACGCAACCAGTGTGTTCCGGATCTCGAGATTCCGCACAGTTTCTGTTAGCGCAACCAGTGCTGCAGTGGCAACAGCCGAAGTTGTTTCTAGTAACGTTGGATACAGCGTACTACTGCGGTTGCTGCACCACCATCCGAAATGCACTGATGTGGTTGGCCGAAGCCATTTTGGAGCACCCTTCGGAGCAGCCAATACAGTGTTTTGGAGCAGCAAAATGCGGCCTTTGGAGCAACCGAAACAGTAATTTGGAGCAGCAAAAGCGTCTTTTGGAGCAGCCAAGACAGTGTTTCGAAGCAGCAAAAGTGGCTTTAGGAGCAAATATTCTTAGAAAACTAAAAATATTTCAGTTTTAAGTGCTCTACAAACAAAGGGCACTTTGTGTTGTGTTGTGCTCTCATGTGACGTGTTGTGACGGCACTCGCTGCTTGTGTTTTGACTGCCGAGACATCCCACAAGTGTACAGTACTGTAGGCATTGCCGAGCAATTCTGAAAACCCACTTGCCACCATTTTTGCTGGTTCCCGACGTGCCAGTTTTTCTTGAAATGTAACCAAATGTAAAACAATGGATTGCAAGTGCCCTGGCTGGTGCCTTTGTCGTGCAATCATGTTCACATGCATGTGAGGGCAACTTGGCAGGCTTGCATGTGCGCGTGCTTCGTCACGCGAGCGGAGACAACAGCTGTTCGATCGAAACCGAAACCATGCCACTCCACTCCGTCGCCAACTGATTCCAAAAATTGTATGCAAAATCTAATTGTCGAGCATACGACAAAGAACAGTCCAGCAGCCCGTGCTTGCCAAGCCGGCAAATGAGGTGCCACGTGCTTGCCAGGCCGGCAAACAAAATACAAGCTAAGCACACACACACACAAAAAAAAAGAACCTGAGCGCATAGATGCAATACTTCGCAAGCCAGGGTCAAGACGGAGCGTTTTGTGCAACGACTGAACTCGCGACAAACAAGCGCGCTATGAGGGTTCAGCGTGCACACTTTGCCTTCTTTGCTTTAGCTCACTTCTCTTCACCCACTTTCTTTTGCGGTACATTTTATACGAAAGAAAGCCCACCGACAGAAACCTAGGTAATCAATACTTTGACACAGCAGTAGTAACGGATATTTAAACAAGGACAGGAATGTTGATGAACATGTGTCGGCACTTAATTTCATTTTAGAAGCTGTCATATCTGCAGCGAGGTGGGGACGGCAACACCCGACGTCGCACGGCCGCGGTGACTGAAAGGCAGTTAGAAAAATATAGTTTTCCCACGACCCTTGCTTTGATAAACGAGTGCTCCAGCTCACAAAATAACTCCCGCCGCAAAAAAAATAAAATGTTTTGTTTTACAGCATGTGGCATGGCTGCTACCCAGCACGCACGCTAGTGTCAGAGCGTCCGCATACACCTGCGTCTATCGTGAAAATATTTATAAAAAAAAGAGGCGAGACGAGACCAACAAGACCACGAGAGCGCGAGACGGCAGGAAAACCATGCAAGACCGGATGGACAATTGATGCAGGGGGCTTTGTGTCGGGCATCTGCTTGCGCCATATAACACATGCATGCTCAATTACAGTACTCGGTTTAGTTTCGGTATTGAGAGGCAACCGAAATTGGTTTCTTGGTACAAGCATAGTGTAGATTACCCATATTTTGGCAAAATGTAGCGGGATGGAGCAAGGTTAGCCCCTTGGAGTAGTTTGGTGCAATGGTTAACTGTCTTCCTATAGTATTCACAAATGCATTTTGATATACCCTTTACCCTCCTCCCCCCCCCCCTAGAAGTCAGGTCATCCTTTCTTCATTTGTGCACTCACCTTGTTGTTGACCGACTGGCGGGACGTCAGCCACTGGCAAGAGAGCTGCGGGAGGAGTCGGCACAGTCTGCACTCTCTCAGCAGGACATGTTGGCACTTGGTTTGCTGGCAATGGACAAAACAAGGAACTTGCAATGACAGTATGTGGGACAAGGCACCATATTTTAGAATGCCAGCACCAAATAAAAAGGCTTAACCTCCCTGCCATTCATCAATATCCAATGATGCTTACTGTAGAATCCTTCACTGCCCCTCTCCTACCCTGCAAGTCAGTTTATTTTCTGTATTTGTGGCACTCACCCAGTACTTGGTCAACTGGCGGTACCAGAGCTTGATCCACTAGTACTTTAGCAGGCAACGCACGCTGTGTAGATGGGCATCCTGGAGACATAAAAGAAAGATGTGTTACAGGCGAGCACAATGATCAATCGCTGCCTTGTAGGGTAGTATTTGAGAGACGTGAGACCCACTTTTCAATTTAGAAGATTGAAAAGAAATAATCTGGCCAGGCAAATATTGTAAAATACTTCCTTTTTATAATGCACCGAAGTATTGAATGCACTCTCAAATTGAGTATATAAAAGAATTGATTTTTGTTTCCCTGTGTATTTATTGCATCCGGAATATGCAAAGGAAGCAACAAGAAGTTAGAGAGAAAGCAGTACGAGACAAAGTGCCCAGTCGGCTTGGGCAAGAAGACGTTGACTCAAAATTACCAAGAACACGGCACGCAAAAGCCCAGAGTCGCCGACAACAAGCAGACAATGCAAGGCAGAGGACGCACGGGTGAAGGGGAAAGCATGCACAGAGCAAAGGTTCGCTCGTTGCCGAGATGCACAACTATGAGAGCATGTGCTTCAATGGCATGCCTCGCGGAACAACCAAGCCGTGAAAGTGACTGGGCGTGTTCCGTATTTAGACATTCTGCATACTTTTTAATCACGTGCTTCACAGAGCCGGCCCAAGTGATTAGGGTAGCTGAAGCAGGCTGTCATGTTACAGATACGTGATCAGCAGAGTCAGAAAGGGAAAGAAATAATATTCTGGATACACCCAAGATCTCGGCAAACAGCCATGACATCAGGCAAGGGGTTCTTCAAATTTATGCAGTTTCGGTTGCATTTTCAGTCCACATCTTCTTTGTTAATGATTTGACGCTACTTAGGAACCCAGCACAGTAAGAAAAATCTTAGCGTCATTTTCCTTACCATAAAGGGTAGTAACAGGAACTTTCACAAACCATACCTAATTTCTGTGTTTATCTTTCAACGTTGCCACACATAGCTGTCACGCACCCCAGGAAGCAGCTTCATTTTCGGGCAAAATAAAGATGATAATTATGTGAATAACCATGGTATATTTTCTTTGAGCATACTGGAGGGTTATGCTCAAGTAGAGACCTGCTGGAAAGGCACCCTGCTTGGCGAACGCAACTGCCATTTTTTTATTTGGGGAGAATTGTGCCGATTGCAGGAGCCTTTCTGGGAGCCTCCGTTTCCCAGAGATGCTTATATGGTGTAATTTGAGTAGCAACATCAGTCTTCTGATCTTGCTAAAAGCTTGTCACGGCTGCAAACTGCCGTGAATGCAATCTATGTGTTTCACTTATCCTACAGTAGACTGACATTTTGCAGAGCATTTCTTTCTCTCACTCCTCAGAGCCATCCATGGCTAGCAATGAACAAGGCAAACAAAAACAAAATAAAGAAAAGCAGTTAAAACTTGCCTGTGCCAGAAGTTGAAGGCACTGAAACTGGGCCGCAGTGAACATCCTTCATTGGATAGGGTGCATTCTCTAAATAGAAGGAGATGCACAGATGGATGTAAGAAAAAATGGAGTGGCCTATCAACATTACCAAGCAACTCACCCCACTCAAGGAATGGTGACTCATAAAAGGGAAGCCCCTCATCGGAGGTAGTGGCTGTGTCTCTACTCTCTCCTGCGGCAACTACTGAAAAATGAAGTTTGAATTGAACCAGAAGGCAAGCAGTAAAAACTATCTTCCTTTCAAAGTTTTCGTTAACTATGAGAGGGGGAAACATACACACCAATTTTTGTGGCCAGGGCCTGAGCCAGCTGCCGACTGTGGCTCCTTTCTTTGGCCAGTTATTTTTTTAGTTCTTTTATAACTTCCTCTTTTTCCCTGAGGACAGTGATGGGTACCATGTCACTCTGGTAGCGGCTGGGTGTCTCCGTCTGCTTGATCTGGGCAAAAACGTGTGTGTTTGCTGACTTTAATCAACTGCCTAAATAATGAAACCTGTATGGCTGTGGCTAGAATTCCGTCCAGACAAAACGATAGTCACCGCTAGAGTTCCGTCTAAACTGCCAATGTCCAGTCTCCGAAGTGATCTTCGTAGGGCTTTTTATTCAGTGTCGATGAAACGTGCGTGTCAACCTAACCGGTCCACCTCTTTACGCTGCTTCGCAGCAACAGTATGTGGCGGCTCATTACAAAAATGTAACTCCCCTGACCCACCTTACACGCCGCTTTGCGGCAGCAGTACCCCCGTTGCTCAGTTTATAGTTCCGCTTCGACGGAACTCTACACTGTTTGCTATCATTCCTTCAGTGCAGACAGAACTTCAGTGGCGACTATTGTTCCATCTGGAAGGAACTCTAGACACTTCCAACTTATATTGGCGCAATTTCATACCTTCTGCTTTTTCCTGAAATCAGCGGCAATGTCATGCAGCCTTGTTTTCTTTCCGATTTCCTTTTGTTTTCTCTTCTCCTTGTGACCGAGGTCTTGGACTTTCTGAATGCAAAGAGAAGGAATCTAAAATTTATACAACTCAACCGCTAACAGCCCCAGACAAAATATCAAGGCTCGCTCAGTAAGGAAGTAAGGTTTGTAATCGCTAAAAAAAAAGGAAGTGGATATTCTGCCGGCAGGGGACACAATAACCTGGGAAAAGAATGCCGGCAGTTGTCCCCTATTGGGTCTCATATAAAACTAATTGAGAAAACGGCTATTTGAAGCTGTGGAGTAGCTTACTGGTAAGGTGTCCATCTCACACATATTGGGACCCTGGTTCAATTGCAGTGTGGGCTTATTTTTTCTTTTTCTCAAACTTTTTTTTTTTGGTGGGGGGGGGGGGGGGGGGGCTTTTGCAATATTTACCGCATTTTTTTTCTTTTCTTTTTATTAACACAGGAAAAATGTAATGTTGCAAATGAAACTTCGCTGAATTAAATGGTATAGCACTGCACCCTTCCCGGGGGTAAATGAAAAACAGCCCGGGGAAAAAAAAATGCCGCCAGTTTCGGACGGCGCGTGTATCACTGGGGAGCGGACGGCGTGTTTATCACTCGAACGGCGCATGTATCACAGTCTGCAGCTGCTCATTAGAAAAATATTAACACTATTGGCCCACCTGTCCACCGGCAGTACAAGTATCGCTGTCCTCCATTCACCCCAGGAAAGGCAGTCCCATTCCATTTAACTCAGCGAAGTTTCGTCGACAACATTAGATTTTTCAGTGTTAATTGTAAAAAAGAAATGCTGCAGATATCGTCAAATGCCTAAAAAAAAGCATCATATAATCCCTCATTGACAATTGACTCAGGGTCCTGCTGCGTACGAGACAGACACCTTATCAGTGAGCTACTCTACAGCTTCAAATAGTCTTCATAATTTGTTTTATACGAGACCCAATAGGGGGCAGCTGCCGGTATTTTTTTCCCCCTAGTTATTATGCCGGCAGACCGCAGGATAATCCACTTCAAAAAATAATAAACCGAGCTGATTTCATTAAAAAGGTGCCATTTGTTTTTTACTGTTAAAAAAAATGCTGACTACAACAAGCTACTATGAGCAAATATTAAAAAAAAGTGTAATAGTAATTATTCATAAATAAAATTGTTAAGTTTGACCCCTTTCTTTGCAGTGCCTAGAGTGCCGTCTAACGGCTCTCCACAGGATAGTTCAAGTGGCACCCAAAGTCTTTACAGGGGCAGTGCGCCGTCACATTCTGCGAATTGCAGAGGCCACTGCCTCTGTAGACTGAACTTCGCTGATTCAAATTTTGTCAACATTCCAAGCACTAGCAGTCGGAGAGCTCTGATGAGCGGAAATTTAGGGGCAAGGTCAGAACGATTTCCAACACAAACCACACTTCTATTGCAATATATGACCTATCAGAGGCTTACCACTGCTTTATCTTACCATTAGGTGCAGATCAAGCAATGTTGCGGTAGTGAGGTATATTATTCTTTGTATTGCGATGCAGGGCCGCAGAAGTTGGAGACAAAAATAAAAAAATCCTTTTGAAAATAAAAATCTACTTGTGATATGCAATATTGAACCTGGACTTCCATAAAGTAAAACACATTGCTTGCTCAGCCTGCTAACCACTGCACCGCCACAGCGAGCTAAATATGTCATTTTTGGGGGTTTCTGATATCATTTTCAATGCACGAAAATAAAATCCGAAATAACTATGGTTAGTTTATCAGGAAAGAAAGAGATCATGTAAGCGTGCTAATTTCGGCTGAACTACACTAAAATATGATGTTAATCGCTAAACGAAGGCACTTGAACGCTCCATAGCAGTACTTGTCGGGCAGCACTTGAACACTTGGTTGGAGCGCCGTAAAACACCACTCTAAAAATGCGATTGCTTTTTTTTAAGGCTTGAACTGTTTTTCGAGTGGATGTGTTGGATTATCTCTATCGGATAATGAATCTTTACAATTGGTTCAAGGAAAAGTGGCACAGCAAGGCAAAACTTGCCTTTCCTACTGGTCCTACGAGCTTTGCTGTTCCACCGACAATCCTTGGAATGGGGTACCGTTTTGTCTGCATTTTCTTCAGGAGGTCATCCACAGACTCTGCGGAATATATATACATATATTAAACATAAATCTGATTTTTTAAACATGCTTTTTTCCAAAAAGATAAAATAAATATGAACCGAATTTTGTAAATATCAGTTTAGTTGACATGTCGCAAAATACCAGGAAAGCTATGATCTGTGCGTGAGCGCGGCAGGACCGAGCGCGAGAACTTTACTTGTCATACGAGTGGACAAAAAAAAACAATAAAAATTCTAACTCTGGTAAGCCTTTTTTTTTTTTTTCTCTTTTTGGCAGTCGCGGCCCGACAGGCGTAGCTTAGCCGAGTGACGAAACGGGTCTCTTAGTTGTGCGGATCAAGCATATCTGACCAAGCTCGCACCCCAAAAGATGCCTCCATTCCCTAGGAAAAAAAAACAACAAAAAAACTTACCGCCCAGAAGGAGCACGTGAGCATCGTAATAATCCTCTTCATCGCCGCAGTCCGACACCCAGTAGGCCTCGTATATCCGGGTGGCGTCGAAGTCTTCGTCATTTCGGGGCGAGAAGCTTCTGATCAAAGACGTTGGCAATATCAGCTGCCAACCGTCCGTAAATTTTACATATGCGTGCATCTACTCTACAGCCTCCTATCTTAGAAAAAGAACACAAACCACCGAAACACGTTGAAGAAAGAGCAAGCAGAGCAGCAGAGATCGATACACGACACAGAAGCAGAACCAGCGAACGTGATGCGTTCGGTTTGTGCCGAAAGACATATGTAATCGTTCTCAGTAAGGGCACGTGAAAGCAACTCTCAGTCACCCCCTCCTGAGTCACGCCCGCCCGCACCGCCACTCACACTCACAAAAGATATTGGCATTATCCGAACGGAGTGGGTGGGGTCCCTGCACCGACGTCACAACACAGCGCCGTTCCGCCATCGCTACGTACTTTTCGAACGCACCTTGCGCCTGCGGCTTTCGTTTTGGTGTGGCGGCGTTGTCTTGGTAAAGCGCCGGAGTTTGAGCGGTCGTGGACTCGGGCGTTGCTCGGACGCTGCTACACGGAGCCCAACGCCTAAGTGTTATTCGGGTGTAGCCGCTGCCTTGGCCGAAAGCTGGCAGATCGAAGCCAGGAAGGCTGCAACAGAATTAACTGCTGGGCTGCAAGAACGCAAAAAGATACGGACAAGTAGAAGAACAGGACAGGACAGGCTCTGTCCTGTCCTGTTCTTCTTTTGCGCTCTTATCCTCTATGAGGCTGCAACTCAGGGTCACAAGGGTGCCTACATGTTTCCGGTGCGGCGGGCACATGTAGGCACCCTAAATCGAATGAGCTCGAAAAACACTGCCTCCGCGCATACACGGCGTAGCAGACGACGCGCCAACATGGGCTGCGTTCAATGTCTTGGATCCGCATTACTTAGGCGGGTCGTGTCACGTGACAACACAGATTGTAAAGCGCTGAATGCGGGTAAGTTTGGGAACGCCAAGGTACCAAGCACTTATCCTGGGGCCTGGAGTAAGGTCGAGTAAATTTTGGAACACGGCACACGGCCATGCCGACGAGGCTACGAATCGAATCTGACGTCAGGTGTAAAAGCCAAACAACCCACATAAAAAAAAAAATAAAAAAAAAGCAATGAGGAAAAAAAAGTTGTTAGCAGTGTGACAGTAATAGCAATAAATAATATTTATTTCTACTAATGACGGCCGTAGTGCTTCAGAAAGGCGGAACAAGACAACAATAAACGGGACGCATTCGAGTCGCGAAGGAAGAAAACAAATGCAATGCGCTCTTCGGGAAGGCACGTGACCGTAACCTCCAGTCACCCTTCTCCTAAACGTGTCAGCACTCACAGAAATCTTTTGGTGGCGTTTTTTGAACGAAGGAGGTGACTGTAGTTGACTCTTTTCTCTGAAATCCGGAACTCCGGAAGACTACTTCAAATCATTGGGTGTTCGCGAGTCGCGACGTTCTTTGCGGCGGAGGGATCTTTTTTTATTTAGCGGTCATCAAACATCTAGCCAATCCTTGTGCTTGTGGGCTTGTGTGTAAGTCCGGCAGACTTCTTGACTGATATCCTTCGTATTCTACGTTTGGCGACCGAAATATTTATGACATGGCTACTCCTGGCAAACGACGAAAGCGGTACCTAGACGCAGACCAGCCTTACCTCATCCCGGTATCAACCTTACGTTTCCAGAAGACGCTTGTGGGTCAGGGGGCTAACGCTGGCACCTCTGTAGTTACGGAACCGCTTGACGGCGACGAAGGTAGAGAGAACGGAGGTTACCGTAGTGACCCTCTAGGTACTGACGAAGACGACATCCAAGACTGCCACGGAGCCTACCGTGATGACCCTGTAGATACTGACGAAGATGACGCCGAAGACTGCCACGGAGCCTACCGTGATGACCCTGTAGATACTGACGAAGATGACGCCCAAGACTGCCATGGAGTCGACGTCGGAGATGTCTCCACCGACAGTGAGCATGCATCGCAAGACCAAGCTGATGACGGAGGGGACAGCACTGATGATGAACACCCTGACGGCGAGGTGTCGAGAGAGAAGTCTCTCGAAGAAGCCGTGATCTCTGAAGACGACGACGACGAGGAGATGGGACCTGGGTCCATCGAAGATCTCTTGACCCTGTGCGTGGAAGAGTTTGGTGCTAGTATGCTGCCGCATTCACCAACGTCGAAAGCTGGCGCCATCGCGATGGTTATATCGTATGCCGTTTCGGAGAGATCGACGTGGGCCGGGCTCGGCAAGCTATTGACACTTGTGAATGCCTTGTTTGGCAGCGCAGTTCTGCCGACAAGTATCTACAAGCTGAGGAAGCTGTGGACGAAAAAAAAGGAAAACTTGGTGAAGTACCATTATCTGTGCCCATGCTGTGACACGGTCCTCAACTCAAGCGATTCGATTGCACGATGCGATGTGTGCAATTTTGAGGAGTCCACTGAGAAGCTAAGACATGGTGGGTCATATTTCTTGATGCTCGACCTCCACAAGCAGCTCAAGCACCTAATTGGAAAAACAAGTGTCGAGCTTCATCATTCGCTGTCAATGCTAGCACTCAATGACTCTGATTTGATTACGGACATTACAACAGCCGAAGCTTGCAAGCACTTGCGCCAAGAGCTTGCCTTAGGTCCGAGTGACCTAACAATCACGTTCAACACTGATGGGAGCCCCATCTTCAAATCCTCGAAGACGTCAGTGTGGCCGATTCAATTTACAGTAAATGAACTACCCCCTGCAGTGCGCTTGCACCACCCTACATTGGCTGGACTCTGGTTTGGGAAGCGCCATCCAGACATGTCGGTTTTTCTGACCAAGTTTGTGGAGGAAGTCAACACTATGGCCCCTGTGACATGGATCCATGGAGATCAGCAGCTCACTTCAAAAGCCTTTGTACTGTGCTGCAGCGTTGATACCCCTGCCCGTGCTGCCGTGCAAAACATGGTCTCTTTCAATGGGTTCTTCGGCTGCCCATATTGCTTGATGAAAGGCGAGCACGAGGAAGGTACATATAATTTTCATTCTTTTGCAGATATACACTTTTGCCTGCTAATCAAGGAAGATATCATTGATCAGGTCGCAATGGTTGATCAGTTAAATACTTTGCTTTCTTTTTGCAGGATGCGTGCGCTATGTCGCCGATGAAGCCCCAATTCCGAGGACATCGGAGCTTGTTGTTCGAGACATGGAGCTCGCCCAGAGGCTGGGGAGCCCTGTAAATGGTATCAAGGGTCCATCACCTCTCATGAACCTTGAAGGTAATTTGTGTGTGTGGAATGTGTCATGTCAAAACCTACCTGACATCGTTTTTGCTCAGGTTTCGACTTGGTTGCTGGCATGAGCGTGGAATACATGCATTGTGTTCTGCAAGGGGTGGTGCGACAAGTCACGGAGCTCCTCTTTTCATCGACAAGCTCACGACAGGCCTACTACATCGGTAACCGTTTTAACGTGTCTGTTACAATGCCATAGCATGCACGAAACAAAAACCTTAGAGTTTGTCATTGTCAAACAGCATTCAATCATGTGTCACCATCTGGCAGCTAGGAAAATTGATAGATGATGTGCAAGCCTTTTGCAAGGTTGTTAATGCCCGGGTATTTAATTCTTGCCTCATCTATTAGCTCATTCACATGGGAATTCCAAATGATATTGTCACAATGAATGAATGGCCGAACTTCCTCTCCAAGCGCGCTTGTTGCCACGGACGTCATTGCCGAGAATCGAGTGATTGCTTGAAATTTTCCAAACGCTCGGCAACTGCGCAATGCGCACTTGTAGAGATGTGTAGTTTGCACGGTCGCCGAGTGTTTGAAAAGTTGGAAGCAATCGCTCAATTCTGAGCAATGACGTCCGCGGCAACGAGCGCACTTGTAGAGAAAGTTGAGCAGTAGATGCACCCCGGCAGAGCATTCTTTGCCCTGAGAACGTTTCTGTTAGTCCTCTCGTCACCTTCATTCGTGGCATTTCTGGTGGAGGTGCAGGGTACTTATCCTCGTACCACTCACATGCCAAGTAAGACTGATTCAACAAGGTTGTGGGCCGCTTCGAGCGTCGCGGGCTCAGGGCGAGAATGAACAGGCACTTTCTAGAACGAGAAACAAAGATGAAACGGTAAAAGTTACGCCTCGAGTAGAATACACGGGAATCTTTTAGAACTATGTGACAGAGTGTTGTTTGCTCGGCCCTCAGCGCGGCAATATTGTGCCGAATGACAGTTTATAATAGACAAACCAGTGCCTGCCGCTGCCAAGCATGACACCCCAAACTGGGATCGCGAGCTGATTTCCAGATTTCTCAAATGTCATTCGTGCTTACTCCCATTTAACCTGTCATCTAGCAGTATCAGCAGTCCATTTGTGTCCCTAGACATGAATGCGGTCTTTAAGAAAGGTTTCCGTCGATCTACTGCTCATTGCCGACGCCGCTTGGTAACCGAGAAAACAATGCTACCAGGCGGCTTTTTTTTTTTATGTTTAATTTTGTTAAAGGGATGCTGAACCGAAATTTTGGGTGGAAATTCTTGGTCGCAATGGCATACATAGCATGTCCTTTACTTCTAAATGGCGTTGTTTTGAGCGAGGAGGCGTATAAAATTGAATAAACACGAAAAATACAATTTTACGCGACCCCTGGTGAGCGTCGTGGAAAACTCGCTTCGTGACGTGCGCATTCTCATTCGCCTCAAAAGACAGACTGAGCCAAGCCAAGCCAGGCGCTAAGTCGGGTGGCGTTTGTTATTGTTAGTACCACGCGGGCTCCTGGAGTGATCATGTGCCTCCGCCGCACCCCCTTGACATGCGCTGTGCCTGTGAGCGACTCGGCTGACTCTTCCCACTCCCGGAATGATCGCGTACCTCCGCCGCCCTCCCTGACGTCCGCCGAGCCTGAGAATGACTCGGATGTCTCTGCCCCGACTCTGCAGTGACCGCGTGCCTCCGCCGCGCACCCCGCGCCGGAGCCCCATCCGCGTGCCCGCCCGCGTGTGCCCGTGAATTCTGTGTCCTCGGCCCCCCCTCCCCCCCCCCTCTCGCATCCGGAAGACCGCTTCCCGACCTCTATCTAATCTCATTTCTTTCTGCTCATCTTTCACTCCCATTCCCCCTCCCCCCAAAGATAGTTAGCACGACTCCCATTCGAGTGAGTCTACAGGACTATCTCTTCCTTTCCAAACTCCTCCTCTCTCTCTCTGTCTGCTCTGCCCGCGTGGTACTAGTCCCAGCCGCTTTGAGAACAGCCGCCGAGCGAAGAATCAAGGCGAGCACCAACGAACGAGGAGAATGCGCGGAGGCGCCAGGGGCGCTGGGGGCGCCGAGAATGCGCACGTCAGTTCCGCTACGCCTGCTCTCAGAAGGACTCGCTCGCGCCGGCGGCTTCCGGCCGAGGATTCGCTCTTAATTCAAAGAAATACAATAATTCGGGCCCCATCCGTCGGATTCAATATCGTTTTTAGGTACAGTACCATTCCGTGAAGCCC